AGAGAGAGAGAGAGAGAGAGAGAGAGACTCACCGCACTCTCTCGAAATGTGCAAAACGAGAGTGAATCTTACGCTAGAACATGGAAAGACACAGTGCCATGATTTGTCTTTTGCGGTTGTCTCGACGCCCGCAGTCCCGGCGGGCTGCGCGGAGCACCCCGCACAGGCCGCTGAGATTCTCTCTCTCTCTCTCTCTCTCTCTCTCTCTCTCTCTCTCTCTCTTCCCCACTGGCGCGCTGGGAGAAACGGGATACAACGGTTTTTTTTCTTTTTTCTTTTTTTTTAGAAGAAAATTGTATATTTGATCTTTTCTCTCTTTTTTGTTTTTTTATATGCGCCTACCGGTAGCTCGAGGCTCGGCAGGCTTCGGGATACTGGTAGGCTGACATCCAGGTTGTTCAGGAATAGGGTCGGGCCTTAACAACCGGTAGGTACTGGTGGTTTAATGGGCACAGCTCAAGGAAGTACTGGTGGTTTAAACCACCAGTCCATGGCCCAGCCAAATAAGCCTCTCCTAAAAGTTGGGGGACTCCCCCACGCTGCGTGGTGGGGACTGGCGCCGCGCAGGACAGAAAAACAGTCCCACCCGCTGTCAGACCCCTGCCGTGGGGGCAAGTCCCCTAACTTTTTGGGGAGGTTTTCATTTGACCTCGTCATGTACTGGTGGTTTAACCCGAAAAAAATGTACGTACTTTGTATATGAGCACAACGAATACAAGTACATATATTATTCAACGAGTTTTAGGGCATGACTTTGTAGGAGCCTTGGTTGGGAATTTTGCCAGGACCCTCGGGCAAAAATTGTCTGCATTGAACTCTTGTACAAGATACTTTTTTTTTAATGAAGAACTCAGAAAACAGAATGGCCCTGCAGCAAAAGAATAGTTTTATTCCCGTTTTATTTTTTTTCTGGAATTTGGTTGTGAATTTCGAAATGACCCTCCGGCAAAAGTTGTTTGTATTGCGATATTGTGTTTTCAGTTTTTGTTTTTGTTTTTTTTTAATCGAAATTTCCAAGAATTGAATACAACGTACGTATGTTATATTCGACCGTACGTTATATTCCCCAAAACAAAACTCAGCAATTTACAGGCCCCATTTTTCACAGGTTACGTTGACTAGTCTGCATCCCCGCAATGTTTACTCGTGAACTCCCTTTTTTTGGGTATCAAACCTTGAACCCATAACCTCATGCTTATCAGTAATCAGTGTTAACCTACTGAGTGTGCTATGCTGAGCTCCAGTCAGGGACAAGTGTGCAAGCATCCAGACAACCCCATGGACCAAGTGCGCAAGCATCCAGACAACCCCATGGACCATGTGTGCAGGCACACCAATCCTTGTCCAGACCCAAAATAGAACACCATGGACAATCCCTTGGGTGGTGCGAAGGCAGTGTCTGCACGCCCGCCAGTGTTTCTGCGCAGAAACGGCGTGTTTTGAACCTACAACCTCAGACCATGATGCACATTGGCAACCTGGCAACCGGTGCCCTAGCCACTGAGCCACAGGCCACTTGCAAGCCCTGTCATGTCTTGAAAGGGTAAAATTAGCCAGGCCACACACCTGCACATGTAGTCGAATTTGATGGGACGAGACTCAGCCCTGCTTTCTTTTTCCTCGAGCGGCAAAGGATAGAGAATAGCCCCTTCATCTTCGGAAGGTCGACATCAGCCAGGTGAGATGCTGCTGGATCCCTGAACATCCGGGCGAATTGTAACCAGGCTGGTTGCTGCTCTGCTACCTTGACCAGGCCATTTATGAACTTTCCACTCCCACCACCCCCAAGACAAGGGGACTCGTTGCCAAAGGCTTGCGTACAGCATATCGTACATCAAGCGTGGAGTACCTTGTAGAAACCAAAAAAGGAAGGTCAACAAAGCAGCGTTGTGATGCCCAGGATCTTTACTTGAACGCAGACTAATACTATGTAATTCATGTTGTTTCAAGAACTCTGACGGCAGAGCCGCTTGAGAACTCACGAGTTGTTGTAATTCCGAAACAACAGATCCGCTTCTTGCTTCAAAAGTAGCCTTGAAAGTTTTGGCAATAGAAACACACAGGATCAGACTGAAGTCCCGTCCAGATACCGGCCAGACTTCAGCAGGGGTACCCTATGACTTGGCGGACACGGTCTGCTTCTTACACATCTGGAGTCTTCATGGACTTCCCTGGGACTGAGCTGCAGTTTTGGAATGACACATTGACACATAAAATGACAAATGACCAACTGGGCCTACAGGGCGTCTATAACCTGCCGGCCTACTTTCACTGAACATGATGGTTAGGCACTCAAAGTGGCATTCAGGAGGTTGTGGGTTTGAGCCCCGTGACCGCCCGTCCGGCATTTAGTGCCAACCAATCGTGAGAGTGCATCTTGATACCCCTGATCAGTCTTAGTAGGGTCTATGACCAACATGGCCCGGTGCGAGTTTGAGCGTGTGTGGGTTGTGTGTGGCGTGTGGGAGAGTGTTTGGCCATAGCCTGCTGCTACTCGATGGGGAGTGTGAGGAAGCAGATGGGAGGCGAGGTTACTAGCAAAATGCTCGGTCTTTGCGTAACCCGCTACCTCCCACAGGTGGCCCCAGCCTACTCCCTGACCACCGCCGATTAGTGCGGGGGGGAACATACATCCCCTGAATCATGAGAGGTAGCTATGCTTGCAGGGGTCCCCTGTGCTCGGCCTTTGTTAGCCGCCACCTCCCACCGGTGGCCCCACCCGACTCCCTGACCGCCGCCGATTAGCGAGGTGGGGAACATGCACCCCTGAGTTATACGAGGTAGCTATGCTTGCACGGGTCCCCTGTATAGGCTGAGGAGTAGTGCTAGGTAGATACTGAAAGCTGAGATTGCCAGAACAGTAAACCTGCAGGCGTAGAACTCGTACCAGTTCGAAATATGTTCCATGGGACTTCTACGACTGGGAACCGGAACCAGGGCTTCTGAGATTTGAGAAATCCTTTCACACCCCCGACCCCCGAACGTTGAGATGCTAGCCATGCCTGCGTATGAGATTTTTTATTGCGAAAGTATGTATTCCATCTGTTCCATTCCCCACGGCCGTATACGTGCCGTGTTTGCCACGGGTCGGATACTGAAACTTGGTGCGTGGCTAAGTGCTGATGTACCCCCCCGAATTTCAAACTCCTTTGAAACCTGTTGACAGCAACTTTATTGCCCGAGAGCCTCCCTGGGTAATCCATCACCGGATTGGAGAAAAATCCCGGCATCGAACTGCTCAGGCTCAGCCACGTGCAGACCTGAGCTGAAGTCGTACTTCTCTTTTCAGATTCTTGCCTCTTTTCAGCCATCCTCGAAGTCGGTATTTGAAGGTCTTCAGCCAACACGGGTGTGAGTGGGTTGCCTTTGGTGTGTGCGAGAGTGTCCGTAGCCCGTAGTGTCTGCGTTTACCTTCCTCGACTTTCGTTGTTCAGTGTCGAGCGGCACGGTGGTCATTGGACAGCGGACCGGTATTTGGCACGCAGGAAGGTCGTCGTGAAGGTGGGGTCTTGTGGTGGCCAACAGGCGTGCGACCAGGGTCCATGGTCGGCATCTTGAATTCCGGGGGCCGGCTTTCCGGAGCCCAGTCTGCTGTAATTGCAATAAATGAATGGGGTTTTTTGGGCTTGCTGGGTTGTTTTCTCTTGGTTTGGTTGGTTGTATCTTCGTTTTCGTGGTTTTGTTTTTCTTCCTTTTTCATCTGTTTCTTCGTGACATTACTGTTGTGTGCATCTGGCTGCAATGATGTCTAGAAACGCCGTTTTTCCCCTCGTTCTTTGTTTGTGCTTCTGGCTTGGTTCCACTGACCGGTCCGAATGCGATTTGGCCGTCGGTTCCACCCTGGTTTATGGCTTGTGGTGTGACGTCATCACGGTGGGCGGTGCAACCACTGGTGGATTCGTTGTCTGCCCCCTATTCGTTTTTTTTTTTTTTTCAAAGGGCAATGGCCTTGAGGTATTACCATCGGACTAACCAGCCTTTTGTTCGCTTTGTGATCTTCTTGTTTTTCCTTTCCTCTTTTTTTTTTTTGATGCAGGGAGGGGGGGCTTGGTGTCTTTTCTTACTGACAACTTGGAGTCTTACTGACAGCTTGGTGTCTTTTCTTACTGACAGCTGTAGCCTCAGTTAACATATTACCCTATCCAAAATCCAAAAGCCGCAACACCGGTGACCAGATCGAGTTCTCCTTTTACGGGCACTTCCGCAACTATCAGCCCACAGCCTCAGGAATTGTTTTTCAGAGTACATGCATACAAAGCAAGCACTGGGGTTAGACTGAAGACCCAAGGGAACGGGGATATCTTCGGTAAATCAGCAGGAGAGAAAGGATGGAAGTCCGGTAGATCGAAAAAGGATTGTATCACTAGCAGTTTTTCTGCTTAAGAACGTCGTTTTCAAATCTGTGGGTGTGATCATGAAACAGAATAAAGGAATTCTTATGGGAGGGCAAGCTAGTCCTCCCCTGGCCTGTTTCAGAGTACATGCATACCCGTAAGCTAGTACTCCATGCCCAACTCCGAAAAACAATTCCTGAGGCTGTGGGCTGATAGTTGCAGAGATCATGTCAAGGGTAACTTCACGGCCAACAACGCATGCGGAATGTCAAGAACGGGGATGTGCCAAGGACTTCAGGACAGATGGGGTTGGAGTACCAGGTCTGAAGTGGGATCTCCTTGCATTGGTTCCAAAGTGAGTTCGGTCAATGGGAAGGAGAGGGAGGAACAACAAATGCTCTACAAATGAGAAGGTGGATGTCAATGAAAAACTAACTTTTCGAAAAGAAACACAATCACACATACTCCCATTCACAAAAAACAAAAAAAACAGACTTGAAAACGGTGACCGCATTGCGGAAGCCTCCACTTTCAAAGGCGAAACATTGCATGCATACAGGCCGGGTGGCAAAGATCAACCATGGGGCACTTACACATGTCCTGCGGAGTTTGATTCCAAAGCGGAAGTCCATAGCCAAGCGTAATTAGTAGGAGTAAGCTTCACACCTCACGTAAGCTTTTTTACTTCCTTCGTTCAGGAGCTTCCTCTTCTGTGAGGGACACGCATGTGAGGATCAACCTCACACCCAAAGAGTAGGCCCACAAATCGCGTAAAGGGCTGTGCAAAGGATTTTTGGACGTCGAGTCCCAGGTCGACCCATGTACCTAGCTCTGCGAAGTAGCCATGATGGAACCGGGGATTGATGGCAAAAGGGAGGGATATAGACGCAATTATGCCCGGCTTAGCAGAAACGCACCATCTCACACACATAATAGAAAAGCAAAAAAAAACATCCGCCATTCATAACCAAACCAGCCCATCGAGCCCAAGACCATGCATAACAGATTTCCAAAGTTGAAGGAGAAGAGGGAGAGAACGGAGAGAACGGAGTACAAAAGAACAACAGATCCAGAAATCGAATGACGAGGAGCAAGGAATCGAATGTAAGATAAGGGACCGATAAAGCAAGAAACGCATTACCCTTCTCTTTCAAATTCCAATGGAAACATCTCCGATCACCATAACAACTTCCATTTAAAACCCTAACATGGACAGTCCGTCGTCACACGCCCGCGTAACAAGACGCGTGGTGAAGCAAGAAGCGCATTACCCTTCTCTTTCAAATTCCGATAGAAACATCTCCGATCACAACTTCCATAAAACACTCTATCATTGAGAGTCCGACGTCACATGCCCGTGCAGCATAGGAATAGTGGTGCAAGAATTGGCACAATGTACCATAGGAACGTGTGACACTGGCATCTATATAAACGACCCGTAAATGCAAAACCCGGCCGCATCGCCATGTACCATTGGCATCTCCATTCAGCTGAGCACCACGCTGGCCACACAACCGAGCCGCATCACCGTCTACCATAGGCTCCACCCATCCCCACTTCATGTTCACAGCTGCAAAAAGGAAGGTACCAAGTCACTTGGGATGCTCTGGTGAGATAGATAACTTAAGACGACTTCAGATTATAGATTAGGTACTAGGCTATGGCGGCCACGCTTTCCACAAAACTACAGTCTTGATCGCCGCTTCCAGCAGGAGTTTCAGATCATCGCAAATTTGAGATTCGACTTCAGATTATAGATTAGGTACTAGGCCTGTCTCTTATACACATCTAGATGTGTATAAGAGACAGGTACTAGGCTATGGCGGCCACTCTTTCCACAAAACTACGCAGTCTTGATCGCCGCTTCCAGCAGCAGTTTCAGATCGTCACAAATTTGAGATTCCCCGGCCAACCGATGTTGAAGGCTTTCGCCATACTCGCTCTCGAAGGTGGCGGCAATCTGGTGCAAGTCAGTGTCCACCTTGCAGAGAATGTTTCGAACCAACGCGCCCTTCTTCGTCCCCATTCCTTTCGTGGCCTTGTGAATGACATACGCCGCTGCCTTGGCTGGATCCTGTATCTGATGACACAGAGTCTTCAGAAGGTAACCCAGCTTGCCATGAATCTCCTCAGCCACAGCTTCGACAACTGAGCGCCCATGCCTTGCCTTGTATGCCTCAAAAACGGCACAAAGCTGAGGAAAGCTCTCGGTAGTCAGAATCTGCACATGTTACACGCAGGGCAAACCGACGGCACCGACAAAAAGCTCTCCATAGTCAGAATTTACGCACGTCACACCCAATGCAGTACATATAATCCCAAGACAAAAATGCATTACAGCATCCATACTCTGAGAACAAGACCCAATTGGGGGGGGGGGGGGGGGGGGAGGGAGGGGAAGGAGGGGGAAATCATCCTCATTCATTCATGCAGACGTTCACAGATCGATAATTGGTTGGTGACATTGATGATTATGTAACAATCTCACGAAATCATTTCAATTCACTAACACTATCCAGTGACGATTGTCATTTCAGTTCACTGACACTATCCAGTGACGATTGTCATTTCAATTCACTGACACGATGCAGTGACGATTGATGATTACTTGTCAGATTCATTGATGGGCTGAATGATCGATCAGTGCGATTTGATTAACAGAACAGTCCATGGTACCCGGCACATATGCGGAGTGCTACACATGTCACTATTAATTCTGTTAAGTCAAATCTGTGTTGATGAACAGGCCGTGAGTGCATAGCACCAGTATGTTTCCCAGTCATTCTTTCAAAGTCACATGCATGCTTGATAGATTGTGGTACAAGGCATACATGCAATCAACCAATGGCAAATCAAACACTGGCGATTACAACGCAATCAATTGACCAGTCGCAATCAACCAAATGCAAAGAACCATTGACCGGTTGGGCCCACCCAGTCCGTTCCACGTAGGTCTGCAAGGGCTTCCTGTCACGCAACTTGGCAATACATAAGGGGACACGAAGCGCTACTCACCTCAATGAACTTGCCCTCATTTGTGCCCCATCTTCCTTCCCCAGCCTTATACCTGCCCACGCACATGAAAGAATAAATAGGAATTAACAATGGTGCACAGAGACAGTTTCTCGCAGCCACTTTTCCAAGTCAGAACTCAACAGTTGAATATACAACACATGGTTCTCTCTCTCTCTCTCTCTCAAACACAAAATAACCAAAAACCGAAAGCAAATAAAAACAAAAGCCAAATCCCGGTGGAAGAGGCTATACTAGCCTGCACCAGATATCGGTCAAATCTGCCTACAAGATGCTACCCAAAAGACACTTGAAAGACATGATTAACGACAGATGGGCTAGGCACCTGAACGTGGACCGTACCCTCCTTTCCCCGATCAAATGGTTTAAGGAACAAAAATCTAAGCCTATGAAAATTACTTCTCTACAGTGGCAGATCGCCCACCCCTGTCTGCCAACCAATGATTGGTTAACGGACTGCACAAACCTCGAACAAAGGGGGTTACTGCTCCCATGGTGCCAACGATGTCAGAGTCTTTTCCCCTTCCACAAGAAGGCAGAGACCATTGAGCATATTTTTCTGCAATGCCCGATAGCACAGTTCACGTGGAGATGGTGGGACCGCATCTGGCACAAAATGAAACCAGACACCCCCTGGCCCTGGACATGGCAGGCTATACTGACTGGCCATTGGCCGCCAGCAGCAAGGGCCACAACCTTTGTAGAGAATATGTATAGATTAGGATGGAGGGCGGTGATATGGGCACTCTGGTGGCATAGGTGCATTCTGGCCATGGAAAAAGTACGGGTGGAGGGGCCGGAGATTGAGGAACAGATTCGACAGCAGATCCATCAGGAACTCACACAGAGATGGTCGGACACAAAGTCACAGCTAGACTTCCTTAAGCAAACAGGAGATGTCAGGAGACCGATCACGAGATTCTGTACAGACTGGATAGGAGGGCAAAGAGAAGGCTGGATAGCAAAGGTGGAATTGAGCGGGGACAGAAGAGAAGAGACACGGGAGTTGGAAGAAATGAGGGATTACTGGCTGGTTTTCAAGGATTGGACCAATATAGAACCTTCATTTCCGCTACCCCCCCCCCTCGGACTTCCAGGACCCTTTCCCACCACATGCTCTGTCACTGGCTGAAATCCTGTCTTAATCTATCTTGAACTGTCTTGAACTACAGCAAGAGGAACCCTCCCTGGTGCCCCCCGGGGAAGGATCCTGCTAACCATGACAACGATCTTCGAAGTGGTATCAATGTTTCATGATTTATCTGGCGCCCCCCTCTGGAGGGTGAAGAGATACGGAGGACAAAGGCTACATTACTGGACAGCTTGACACTTTCGATACATCTGCTCAGTCAATCAACTGGGAGACAGGGCGATCAATGCTGGCAGACCCCGTAATCATGTTTCTCAGAAATTCTGTATATGGGACGCTGGACCCGCTTTCCAGCATGTGATGCTCCCCACCAATAGATGGAACCTCCCCCTAGGTGCTAGTGGTGACTGCTCGTATCAGCAGCACTTGCACTGGCAGGGGTGGTGTTGTTTTAAAAATAAAAAATAAAAATAAAAGTACATAAATAAAAACAAAAGTAGCTGGTGGTGCCAACCAAAATGAGCCCCGCGCTGGTTCATTGTTTTTTGGCGCACGAAATGGCTCGGCATCCACCAGGCCTGGGTTTAAATCACCAAAGAACAGACGAATTCGTGGAATGTGTTATCAAAATTTTCGAGAACGATGGAGGTGTTGTCAGTATCCCACTTCACAAGGACCGAAGGGAATGGAGCAGGGCGGATTTCAAATCATATTCGAGTAAACAGCAAAAAATGGCTGTTGCTGGCTGGATCCTTTTGCACAGGGAGAAAACTTTTACTTCAATCCCTGGTACTGAGTTTCCCTTTCTTTTCAGCTTGAAGGTCGCATTATGGCAACGAGGGTATCCTGACGATTTTTTTGATAATTCGTTTTCAGGCATTTGGCAACAGTGGGTTACTATTCTTTCGGGTTGGGAGAAGTGGCCATATCGAGGGAAAGTCCGACGATAGGGCCATTTTTTTCTGTCGGGCCCAGTCGGGGTTACGTTTCAGGTACTTGGCAACATTGGGCCTCTATAGGGTAAGGCCCGACGATAGGGCTATTATGATTCAGCAGAGGAGTGAATTTACGTCTATACAGTTAATATCCAATTGAACAAGGTTTTATCCAATTGAACAAGGTTTTATCAATCGGTTCGCGGGAAGGTCTTTTTCTGTGGCAGACGCAAGTCGTAGGGAATGATTAGCGGCGCGGGCTATATTTTTCATAGGGATTGACAATTCAGTTCTTTTTCACTGAACCTGTCCTAGTCTAGGCATTTTCTAGGAATAGATCCCCACTTCACGCAACTTAAATAGCAATTAGACTTGGTCATTCCCTACCGACAGATTCCTGATGAGCGCTAGTGTGGCGACCAGCCGAAACCGGTCGGATCGCACCAAGGTTAGTACACGTTAACTCTTGTTCTTCACAACTTTTTCAAAAGAGGTACGTTCGCGATTTTTTTTACTTGTTGGGGTTATCTGTCTTTCTCTCTCTTTCTCCCATCTCATCTTTCTCTCCTCTTCTTCTTTTTTCGCGTTGACTTCACACTCTGTCAGCTGCTGTGGCGTATCTCGACTCTCTGGCTGGTCAGTTATGGTTGTTGTCTACAACAACTTACTTACCATGCTCACATGTGATACCCCTTCTCCAGGGTCCACTCTACCAGGCACTACTGGACACTGTACAGTAGGACGTAATCCATATACGTGGAGACCCCCTAAAAGGGGAGTTCGACCCTACTTCACGTCCACTAGGGAATATAGTTTTGCCAACGCCTCATGATTAAAAAGGAAAACAATTAAAATGTGAGAAACGACCAGCCTTACGAAGTCTAGTGGCACGATTTCTCCAAGTGTCACAAATTTTCAGAAAGACTGCAATCCAGTGTCGTCAACTGTTTGCGGTGATGTCCCTGTGCTAGCTTCTTTTCTCCTGGTCTCCCACATTCCCAACCCCCCACCCTCCTCTTCGCTCACTCCTTGGACCGTCAAACCTCTCTCTGCAACTCTCCCTACCCCTTTCCCACTCCTTTCTTGTGCGACTCACCCCTTCACCCCACCTCCCTCTCCACTACGTTCACCACCAATCCAATAGAGTCACGGCTGTTTTGTTCTTTTCCTCCTTGACCTACAATTTTTTTGTTCAATGTTTGTGCCACGTCTGTCTGGGGTGCTTCAATGGTAGAATGTGCAAATTTTCACTTCGAATTTTAAAACGGAACTAAATATACCCGGCCCATGTGACCAATTGTACACACGTTATTCCTCTCGAAACAGAATCCGTTCGGATCCTGACAGAAAGAGGCAAGCACAACTTTTATTTCTTTAAACTATGCGATAGTTTTCTCCGCATTTCGGCTGTCACCATCTACCTACCACTACTCCTAAGCCTATACAGGGGACCCCGGCAAGCATAGCTACCTCCCACAATTAAGGGGATGCATGTCGCCTCCGCTGTAATCCGTGGTGGTCATGGAGCAGGGTGCGGCCACCGGTGGAGGGGGCTGACGAGTTCTGGCCCGCAAGGCTGGGGCCGTGTACTAGCGGTTTAAGCCTGCGGGAAGGCAAGGAGGGCAAGAGTTTCAGAGTTTGGGCAGAGATCCAAAGGATGGCAGGCACTTACAGCTCTTCTGCAAGACACTCCGCCGCTGCCTGATCGACACACGGGGCTTTGCGCGGCACAGTCAGTAGTTTGACGACCAGATCTTCCATGTGGCCACCCAGATCGCCTTTCACATCATCAACCAGGGGCCTGCCATACTTATCCTCGTACGCTGCACCGATAGCCTCCAGTTCATAAGGGGAACAGCTGCAAATCACCTCGCCCAAGGTACTCTCATCGGTTCCGATGCGATTCAACGCGTCGTGAATGTACTCAGCATCCCGCTCCGCTGCTGGCTGGAACATAGCCAGCAACGCTTCCTGCAGTTCACCATCAGTGTGGCCTCTGATGAGCAGCAGGACATCACCGTGCTTGACCTTGGAGTAGTCTGCGAGGCGATACCTCTGATACCACGGCAGCTTCATGGACACCGTGGCAACGGTCAGCAAGCAAGCAACTCGATCTGCGTCTTCATTGCTCAATGCTGCTCGATTCCATTCAAGTTGGCATAGTACCGTTCGTTGTAAGATGTTTACAGCACACGTGCAAAATTACAAATCGCACGCCAAAACAAGCAAAACGACAAATCCACATGCCCAAGCAGACAATGGAGAAGTCAGTGCACCACCAGAATGACACCCCGAATTTTCAAATTTCATCAATTTAATCAAAAAAGCAACACAGACACTGGGCCACTTCTTTTTTTTTCTTTTTTCCTTTTTTTTCCTTTTTGGGGTGGGTGGGGGGGGGGCGCACCTCTTGCCCGAGTGCCAAATTCAACCACTGTCCGACTCAGATACAGCCCTACTACACCGAGTCCCATAATTTGAGAGCGAAAGCAAGCACATCAAGATTGAGCCCACGATAATATGCAGGGTCCCAACAAGAGTGAGCCCACGATAATATGAAGGGTCCTGACACCTTTACCCCCATAAAATATACCATCATATTAACTGGATCTAGACTGGACATTGCCCCAAATACAGTTACAATAACGGTACAGAAATACAGTTACAATAACGGTACAGAACGTCGGTATGACTGCAAACGTACAGGTCGCCAATGGGTTGTCTGGAGGTACCAGCGGGTGATCTTCATTCTTGGAGGTACGAAAGGGCAACGCCGACCTCGAGATATCATCATCATCGAATTGACCGGCACGTAATTCAGAACTGGAGTACGGCATTCATCTGCTTCCAGTGGGGTTCGAACTCGGGTCTGCATTTCTCATGCATTATGACTTCACGAAAACTACTCGGAAGCGACCACTTCCTTTTCATTTTGAGAGAAACAATTTCATTAAAAAATCATTCAAATCATACCACAGATTTCAGAATTCAACCCAGAGAGCCCTTAGTTATAGGTTTCAGTAATGAAGGCTTTAAGCCACCGCTAACCCCGAGGGCGGCTTCCATTTCCTCGAGCACGGTAGGCTCCATGAAGCCTCACATTTCACCCTCGGACAGCCAAAAACCGAGTACGGGGCCATGTTTTGATGAGCGGGTACCTCACCCGGTTTCTATGTACGCAGCTACTGAAGCCGTGCCTGAAAATGCCCTCCAGAAACCGGTTCGCTATGGGGGCATGGTTTGATGAGCGGGTACATCGCCAAGCTTAGCCTATTGAAGCTGAGCCTGAAAATGCCCTGCGTGACACAAAAAAACGACCCGACGTGGGCCTCATTTTCATCCGGTAACCCCACCCCCGAAAGTTACATGGGCCCGACTTTGGTCTGGTAGCCTGAACCAAGAAAGTTGCAGGCATACTTGTTTTTCAAGCTGGGAAAGGTACTGGTGGGCAAGGCAGATCCAGATGTGGCCTGGATTCTCAGCAGAAGCATCGCAGAGCACCAATGTCCCCTTCTCTTTTGATAGGCCTTGCTCCAGGCCCATAATGAGTTATGGGCATTACGAACGTTTTGAAGGAACAGTGCAGCAACCCACATCTTTTTTCTCAGTTCCATTCATAACAGTCTACCTTTTTTCTTTTTTCTTTTTTTAAATAACACACCCCCTGCAGTGCTAGTGCTGCTGGTAAAAGCAGGCACAGTACAAACTTATTATAAAGTAATAAACATTTCAGACCACAGCGCAGCGGCCAACTGGGCCATACCATTCAACCTGAACGTTTGGATACAGCTGAACGTTCGTTAAAACTGAAGGTTGGGATACCAATGGACGTTAAAACTAAAGGTTGGGATACCACTGGACGTTAAACCTGAAGGTCGGGATACCGCTGGATATCAAACCTGAACGTTGGGATACCGGTGGACGTTAAACCTGAGCGTCAGTATACCGCGTGATGGAAGACCTGAGATATGGTGACAGGTGTGGAGTAGCAAGATGCACAGAATAAAGCTGAATCGAGCACAAAACGCAGTGTCAATTTCTTTTTTTATGTATTTACTTTTTTGTTTGGGCTGTCTTTTTCTTTTTAATGTATTTTACTTTTTCTTTTTCTCCTCAACGGGGAACAGCTTTATGTATTTTTCTCTCCATGTTTTTCCTCACGTATAAGCACTTTTCTCAACATGGGACACCAGGGGTTATATGTTGGAGTCCCGGCCTCCCAACTATCGCCCTAGTGGATGCCATCCTACAGCGCCTAAAGCACCTTTTCCATCAAAATGGCATCAATAGGTACCTCAATCTGGGCGTGGTTGTGGAGAGGTGTAGAACATTGGAATTGATCTTCTTTTCTGCATCTATGCAAGAAACACATCCAGATTCAGGCGTTTAATCCAATCCTCTTTGTTAGTGGGACCTCAGCCCAAGTGCCCTTCCCCACAAATAGAATAGAACCGTCACTCAGGTGGGACCACAATCACGAGAATGCTCTTACCATCCTCGAGATTGAAGGTCTGCCCCTCGATGTTTCTCAAAAAGATAACAAGAGGGGAAAAAAAAAAAAAAAAAAAAAGACTGGAGGACTAAACCACTTGAACTCAAGGGAGACACCTAAACTCATCGTCCCCCCCCTCCCTAATGATGTCCGTTAACGTTTTCACATTTTCGGCTAATGATGTCCATTAACGTTTTCACATTTTCAGTTCCAAGGACTGGCCCTTGAAACTCAAGGGCGGCTGGGGCAAAATCGCACTTGAAACTCAACGCAGCTGTCGGAGGTACCTTGAGTGCAAGGACCACACACTAGAAACGGGGTGAAAAGTTGTTGTTTTTTTTTGGTTATTTTTTTTTTCCCAGCAGGCGATCCTCGTCACCTTGAGTGCAAGGACGACACACTGGCAAGGGCGTGAAAAGTGAGGCTTTTTTTTGGTATTCTTTTTTTTTCCAGCAGGCGATCCTCGTCCAGGATTGGTAAAGCCGTGGGTTTCAGTTTCAATTGAGCTTTTTCAAGAGTCTCTAGTGTACCTGGAACCATAAATCAAGTCGGTGTAAATTAATCACAATTGCTTGTTTAGGGCAAACAGTGAGCTTTTTCAAGAGTCTCTTCTAGTGTACGTCGAACCAGGCCCACAGGTAGGAACCAAGAGTAGAAAACTGACCGAAGAACGGGACGACCAAGGAGGATTTTTTTTTTTCTTTCAAGGAGGAAATGTGCTCGAAGGGAGGTAGAGGTGGATACGGAAAATGATTTAAAATGTTCCATTCAGATTCGAAAAGCAACCGGAACATCGGGGTGGTGAGGAAACCCCTTTGCTGAAAAAGAAAAAGGAGCCTGAAAAAAAAAAAGCAAACTGAATAGAGCTCCCAACGGGCCTAGCACAGTTGGTACACCCACGATTGCAATTGAAATACAGACCCATGTTCAAATCCGGACACAATCAGATGCGCAGAATAAAATCATTCTGAATTACCCGGGGTCGATTAGTTCAATGATGATATACCAAGGCCGCCGCCCTTCAAAAAAAAAAAAAAAAAAAACTATACTGAACTCGAGTGCCATTTAAAAAAAGATGTCCTTTTGGCCGGGATGGCTTCTGATATGCGCAAAGTTGTGCATCATGATGTCAGAGGGGGCTTTATGCCCCTCTGCTGGCTGGGACAATGGGCCTCGCTCCTTACTCAATTTCCGCATGTATCTGAACTGTGTTCTCCACCATATACACTGATCCATCCAACTGATCAGTCCACATTCATTTCGGAGGTTGTACAGTAGAGGGAGGCCCAACCAAGGAAATGGACCCCCTCTGGCCATTGTTTTTCTTTTTTTTTTAATGTAGCCCACCACGAATCAGATATGAAACCGATCCGAACAGATACTGCACTTGAGCTTAGCCAAAAGGCCAAGAAAGGAATTGGGCATAGTATTTTTTTTTTTGTACTTCCTTTTCTTTTTTTTGAAGGGCATTTAAAAAACAACTTGGTAAGGGCTAATTCACAATTTCTCAGGGCTTCCCAAACATATTTGCAAAAGGGCACTAACTTATTTGTGGGGGTTTGCAAGCAATCTCGAGGAAAAAGAGGGCTTAATCACGACTTTCCCGAAAAGGAAAACTCCAATTTGGATTTAGATATATCATATATATCGTATATGTTTAATGCTCTCATACTATAGAATCCGAAATTGTGAATCAACTGCCATATTCGGTTTTCACAGGGGAAGATGACGTTCCTTTTCCGGCGAGAGAGCTAAAAACAAGAAAAAATACATGAACGAATTTCCAGCTGGACACTTTCAGGAAATACAGAAAATGTCTGCCCGGTAGACTAAGTACCGTGACCAACAAACTGTTGTTCTGCCTATCAACTGGCCTAGCTCCAATACATGAGCGCATTTCCACGAACTGTTAAACAGACCTCAGTTCGAATCCCAACAAACCAAAGCCACGCACACACGCACACGCACACACACACACACACAGAGACAGTCCTTATCCAACCGTCAAATGCATCCTGGGCGGACTGTCTGTCGAGGTTCAACCTTAAGGACACGTCATCTCGTTAGAAACTGACATTTTTGGCAAAATCACAATTTAAATTGAATTTAATGAAAATTAATTCGATTTTATGTAAAATACTGACTTCCATTTCGTATCGAGTAAGTTGAGTTGGAAAGGAAAACGAGAAGCCGATGTCAACGTATGATAAAAGTCACACACAGCACGCTGCAGAGTAGCAACACACCAGACATGTGAAAAAACTCGGAATTGAGAAAGTTAAGCGACGGCCCTTCTACTCGTTACCGTCGGAAAGCTCTTCGAAAAATAATCAAGTACAACCAAGAGTGGAGCAACCATAGCCTACGAGGCTACGAGAGCTCAAGTCTGCCATCCCTCCTCTAACGATTTCAGCCGGAGCCAGAAATCCAGCCTCATCAGGAGGGAAAAAAAGTTCAATGGCAATTCTACAGTGTTAATAAATACTTGCTGCTCTTCTCAGAAGGAAAATCACCGCGTGAAATTCTCACGGAAGTTCCGCCTTCCTCCAGTTCTCTCATAGAGCAATATTATCTCTGGTTTCGTCTGAAAGTAAAAAAAAGTAAAAAGGCTTCGAGAAATACATTCAGTCTGTCGTCCCTACT